ATTAATAGTTCCAGTCTCTTCTACAACTGTCTTAGAGCATTATTAACAATGAAATATTGTGGATCTCATTAACATTAAAATATAATATACATTATTAAAATATTAATAAAAAGATGAGACAGAAGGAGAGAGAGAGTGAAAGTTTCTATAGGGTGAGACGAATTAAAGAAGGTTCATACACTTGTCAATTTTTAAAAATAATTAAAACATTAATTTTTTTTTTTAGAAACTCTTAGTCAGTTTTATTGATAATGATGCTCTTACAGTCTCTATTTCATATTTCTCTTTCCCATCTGCCCTTAGTTTCGCTAATATGTTCATATCTTCTCTTTATACTTTTGTACTTTCAAAATCACGTAACAATTCATCACTGATTTATGTTTTTTTGATCAAAAGAAGAAGAAAAAATCATCATTGATTGAAAATGAAGTTGTGATTTATTCTGAAATAATCTAATAAAAAAAAAATTTAAGAATGGATTATCAATTTATCACTTTGTTTGCTTCTGAAAATTGGTACCCCGTACAAATTATATGCTTTCCAATTCTCCCCATGTAGATCCACTTCCGCAGTCTTCTCTAAGTTCTCCGCTGGTCATGTGCGTCAATGTTAATACATTTATACGAATATGAATTGGGTAGGAGAACTTTAAAATTCGTAGGAGATACATGTACCTATTGTTTTTTTAAAGAGGATATTTTTTCTTACATGATGAGTAGATGACGTATACTTCACAGCTTGGATTGGCGTTAGATGCTATATACCTCCGGTAAGAGTAGATTGGAGCTACATGCAATTGCTGAAAATACAGAACATTAAGTTAAAGGAATAAAAAGCATAAGAAGTAGAGAAGAAATCATTTGCAAATACTATGTACCTGCTCTTCTTCAACACTAAGAGTTTTAATTTAGATGCACAAACGGAATTCAATAGAAAGCTCATCGCCATGATATTGCAAACGAACATCGTCTTTGGTAATTGTACCTATTTGAGTTTATCTCCAAACAAATATTACAACACATAAAATCAAAACTTTGAAACCATAGATTCGTGTAGTGCAGCCCATTTCTCATATAGAAATCCCAATCATCGTATATTAATAACGGAAAACCCTAAAACATATACAATTTTAGGATTTTAATTTCTAACATGAATCAAACTTGGATTCACCGCTATTGACATCTTTTGAGGATGTAGTTAATTAGGCAAAATACCGCAACATGTAATTGAAGAAGCAAATATTGTATATGCAATGACCGTCCATCAAGGTCCATACATGGCTGGCCACTCAAGCCTTGTCACGTGACTCTTTATTCCAATGCCTTTCTAGACCTCGTCATGATTAGCCGGAGAATTTACAATACTTTTCGACGCAACCTCCATATCTCTGTTTCTTCTTCTCAGGTTTCTCTTCACGTCCCTCCATCCATAACGGCCATAGAACTTTGATGTCAAAACTCAAAAATCACTATAAGAACATATGGAAGCGGCTACAGATGAAGAGTATATGATGAGATATTAAGGTTAATGAGAGATTAAAAACAGGATATGAAGAATGCTTTGGAATTGTTGTTCTTATAATCGAACATTGTGTTGTAATCGTGACCTCAATAACAGTTTCGATTAACCGAATCTCTTTCTCGCTCACTCGTTTGATTTGTGCGGAATCGGATTGAGCAATAGAAGAA